GCAGGGGGTTCCAGTCCATCGGTCACCCCCAAATCTGTGGCCTGGGGGGAGAAGAGGCTGCTGGTTTACAGTCTCCCGAAGAGGAGGGATCTCTGCGATGCTGCCAGAGGAACTCAGCGTGGCCACCCCACCACTCCCTAAAAGCCTCCTTGGCTCAGTGGAGATTTGAACCCAGGTCTCCTGACTCCCTGCTTTTACCTCTGGTGGATTTACCTCCAACCGAATCACGTTCATTCCTCTTGCCTTCTCTCCTTCTAAAATTACGCTTATTTTTTCTCTCCTCATTTCCTCTAACCAGTCTTTTAATCTACATTTGTGTTTCCTTTTTAATAAATCCTGAGAAATTCCATTCAGATTTTCCAAAAATTTCACTACAGGTGTTAAATTAGGACTTAACGGAGAAATTACTAATCTCCATTTAATCCAAATTTGCCAGGCGAGATTTTCCAACTCTTTTATACAGTTCTTATTATTTTTCCAAAAATAATCTTCTCTCTCAATATTTGTAGATTCCAAAACAGAAAATTAATCTTCACCAAGATGTTGAATTTTGCATAGCATAGTTTGACCAAACCAGGATTACCCTTAGTCCTTTAATTCATTTATAACTTCTAGTATCAATCTATCATTTTTTCTTTTTGAAGTTTTTGTAAATTTTTAATTCTTGTAAATGTTCAATATTTTTCATTATCTTGCTTTATCAGTGCTATCTCCTCATTATTACAATTAAACAACATCATTTATGATTTATTCCAGTTTGTAGACCCGTTTCCCCACCACACCTCATATCCGCCAATTGAGCTTTTATACAATCCTGAACCTTTGATGGGTCTTCTATTGTTAACAAAGTAGTCTCAGCAAATAAATAAATCACAGACTTACCTTTTTTTGCCAGCATCCTGTATTTAATTAATTAATTGAGTTACCTCTCCTGATAGGATTCAGCAACAATTTTATGACCAAATCAAGTAGTAAAAGAGAAAGGGTGTATATCTTCTATCCGAGCCTAGAGAAATACATTATGGTCACTAATACTGTTGCCAGCTTTTCCATATATAATTGACGTACCATATACCAGATCGAAAATTTTCTTTTAACGATTTTAATGCTGCCCATTCTGTGGAAAGATATAAAACCTAACACTTCTCAAGGCTGTGCAGATAGTTTAAGCAAAACATGTGCTAAACTTCTTTCCCAGCACCCTGTTTTCTTTTTCTTCTTCTGTTTTTTTTCCTTTTTCCTTGTTTCTTCCTCATTTCTACTTCTTTTTTCTTCTTCTGTATCTTCTCTCTTCCTTCTGTCTCTTCTTTCATTGGATCGTTGAATCATGAAGTTGGAAGGGGCCCCCGAAGCCATCAAGTCCAACCCCCTGCTCAAGGCAGGAATCCGAAATCCAAGGAGAACTGCCAAGGGGTTGTCTAAATTCCTCTTGAAGGCCTTAGTGTCTCATCAGAACCCAATCACATGCCACAAAACAAATAAAGTGTGCTGTTGCTCCTGACTTGTTTGAGAGCCGTGGGGAGCCAGAAGGGCCAAGGGGCCCATTTTGCAAACCTCAGGCATTGGTCCTGGCCGGTTTGGCAGTAGAAAGAGACGAAAGGCTGAGAAGGGTCAGTGGTCGTTAAACAAGTTGGTCATTAAATGAAGAGTGGCTGTACTGTTTTTTAACCCCTAAAATATAAAGTGTGCTGTTGCTCCTGACTTGTTTGAGAGCCGTGGGGAGCCAGAAGGGCCAAGGGGCCCATTTTGCAAACCTCAGGCATTGGTCCTGGCCGGTTTGGCAGTAGAAAGAGACGAAAGGCTGAGAAGGGTCAGTGGTCGTTAAACAAGTTGGTCATTAAATGAAGAGTGGCTGTACTGTTTTTTAACCCCTAAAATAGTGAAACTATTAAAAATAATAAAACTATTAAAAAAAACTAAAGAGCCTCGTGGCGCAGGGGTTAAACTGCCGTCCTGCAGCCAAAACTCTGCTCAAGACCCGGGTTCAGTCCCAGGGAGCAGGCTCGAGGTTCACTCAGCCTTCCATCCTTTCAAGGATGGTCAAATGAGGACCCAGCTGGCCCGATGGGCTTCCAGTCGCCCCCCCTCCCAGGGTGGGTGTCAGTCTTTCCCTTTTAACCCTTCCATGGCCTTCAGTGTTAATTAAAGCATTTCACTCCTCCTGAGCCACACAATCTTAGCCCTGCCCATGGAAAAAAATTTTAAAACAGTTTTAAAAAACAGATAATATACAGCAGCTCACTCATTTAAGCTGTGAAGTTAACTACTTTTTCTTGGTTGACTCATATGGATCCATGTGATGCAAAACTACCCAAAGAGTGTTTTAAGTGCTATGGGGTGGTATAGCAGCATAAGCATGCTTTTTAAAAAAACTTCTGAAATTGGTCTTTTTTAAATAACTTCTGAGAATTAAGAAAGGACCTCTTTGCATAGCCTCGCATTCTGGCCAATCAGAACGGGCCTCCAGTCGCCCCACCCCCAGGGTGGGTGTCAGTTTTTCTCTTTTAATCC